TACTAAGAAAGGTAAAACCACTGTGTTTTCCTCAAGGATCTCACATTTTAATGGGAAAGACAACATATATGGTCCATACAAAATATATGTGGGTGTATTTATGAGCATTAATATTATGCTAGCACCATATTTGTATGTGTGTGCATATATATATATATATTTATGAGCACTAACACTATACTAGCACTATATGTGTGTGTGCATATATACGTATATCTACATATATAGATATACACACGTATTACAGTATCTATCTATAGGGTAAATTAGAGGTAATTTCAGAGGGAAGGCATTAGTAGTCACAGTAGAGGGAAGGAAGGAAAGGCCTCCTGCAGAAGATGGGATTTCAATTGAGTCTTGAAGAAAACCAAGGAGGAGAGGAGGGAAGGCATTGCAGGCTTAAGGCACAGCCAATGAAAAAACAAGGAGTGGGGGATGGGGTGTCCTGTGCAAGAAACCTCAAGAAGGCCAGTGTCACTGGAAAGACTTAGAGGACAGTTGTCAATTAGTCGATGTGTTTATTAAGCTACGTCTATGTTCTAGGTACTGTGCTAAATACTGGGTATACCAAGAAAGGCCAAAAACAGTTCCTGCTCTCCTAGAGCTCACAATCTAGTGGAGGAAGATGATATACAAACAGCTAAGTATAAATAAGACATATTCAGGATAGGTAGGAAACAATCAGCAGAGGGAAAGCACCAGAATTATGAGGAAGTGGGAAAAACTCCCTGTAGAAGGTGGGGTTTTAGCTAGGACTTGATGGAAGCCAGGAGGCTGAGATGAGGAGGGAGGGCTTTCTAGATGTGGCAGATGGCCTGGCCGGTGTGCTCAGAGCAGAAATACGAAGTGTCTTATCCAAGGAGCAGAAAAAAGTATTGAAGAGTACATGAAGGTGTGGACGGTATAAGGAAAGTGGTGAGAGAGGGTGTGTTCCAAAGGGCTTTGAATGCCAAAGAGAGGACTTTGTATTTGACTCTGGAAGTGATAGGGAGTATAAGGTACAAGAAGACTGAAAAGGTGGGAAGGAATCGGGTGGTAAGGGGATTCTGGAGGTCACAGGGAGCCACTGGAGTTTGGTGAGTATGGGGAGGGGAGTGAATTGGCCAGAACAGTACTTCAGGATTATCACTTTATCCAGTAAGTGGACCACTGACTGGAATAGGGAGCCGTTTGAGAGTGGCAGGCTCTGAAGGTACTGTAGCAGCCCAGGCATGAGGTGTTGAGGCCTTGCACCGGCATGGTGGCAGTGTCAGAAGAGAGAGGGCGTGTTTATGAGAAATATTATGAAGATAGAAACTATAAGACGATGTGGGCAGGGCAGAAGGGAGAGGGGGTGAGGAGGCAAGGGTAACAACCACGTTGTTAGCCTGGGGGACTGGGAGAACCACTGTGAGGAAGTTAGGAAAGGGAGAGGGTCTGTGGGGAAAAGGTAATGAGTTCAGTTTGGGACAAGTGGAGTTTAAGAATTCTATCAAATTGTCCAAATGTATAAGACTAAAAGGATTTCTTGGGGAAAGACATCATTGGTTTTCTTGGCTAGAGAGTTCCTATCTTCTAGGGCAGGAGTGGGAAACCTGGGGCCTTAAGGCCACTTGTGGCCTTCTAAATCCTTAAGTGCAGACTTTTTGCTGAATCCAAATTTGCCATGGGTAATCCATCTTCTCAAAGCAGATGAACCTGCCTCTGAGACAACGTGGAGTGATAGAAGTCTATACCCATGACTCAAGATTGTTTGGTTGAATTTTGAGGATGGCTCTTCTTATTCCAGCATAGTCATATTAAGAGAATAGCCACTTAGCAACAATTCTTAATTTCTGTTTGTCCGTAAACATCTCCCAAGAGACTCATTCTCAGATCGTGGGAAACCTGGATTCTTTACTGAACTAGTTTTGCAATTTTCTCTTCAATGTTCCAGGCTCTCCAAATAGCCCTGTTGGTCTGTTTCCCATAACATCATCTATGACATAGCGGTAGTGAGCATGTCTGCTCACATGGGTCACCACTCCTAAGAGACTGACCATGCTCAGAGCTTATGCAGAGCTCCTTCTGAGTGATCATAAGAAGAGGAGAAATAAATCCAGTGACAGTCCGGCCAAAGACGTGGCAACAATCCAAGGCCTTTGGACCACTGTGGTTAGCCTCAGACGTTTGGCAGGCCCCAAAAATTCCAGGCCCCAAAGCCAGTTGTATCCACAAGAGCAAATCCCAAGTGAGTCATGAAAGTGAGGAAAAACCAACTGCTAGAGACAACCTTCCATGTAGCAAGATCATAGTAAAGAACTGGATGCTACATACGGATAGGACCCATAAAAACGTCAAGGACCGTCTCAGATTCTTAAAATCTGATCAGTAGCACACTCACTAGGAATCTCGCTCACCCCGATCAGTGGTCTAATAAACCTTGTCTTTGGCTGGTAAAAAAAAAAAAAAAAAAAAAAAAGAACATCAAGGACCTGGGCTAATCATGTTGCCATCTTAACAGCAGAGCTGTCTCACCATGTGAAGTTTGCTAGAGAGCAGAGGAATAAAAGTTTGGAGCCCTAATCCAGGGGTGGGGAAACCTACAGCTTTGAAGTCACATGTGGCCCTCTAGGTCCTCAAGTGAGGCCCTTTGACCAAATCCAAACTTCACAGAACAAATTTCCTTAATAAAAGGATTTATTCTGTAAAACTTGGACTCAGTCAAAATGCCACACCCAAAGACCCAGAAGACCACATGTGGCCTCAAAGACACAGGTTCCCCATCCCTGAGGCCTAATCAGTCTGCGGCAATTGCGGGCATTGCCTCATTGAGGTACCCTGAATCCCAACTGCAAGTCTTATAAGTCTCATAACTACAACCCTATAGATTCTAGCACAGTTGATTGATATCAGACTAGTTAGTTTTCATAGTCAACTACCTAAAATGCAAAATAGTGTAAATAACTTGGAAATTTGGGACATTTATTCAGATTGAATGGATGAGTCCTGTTCACGTAAGAACAAGGATCATTTGGTGGCAATGGATGGATGGATGGTTTTTAAATAAATAAACACAAATGTCTCTGACATGCACATATCTTACATAATAATAGCTAGCATTCATATAGGATTTTGAAGTTTACAAGAGGCTTTATAAAGAGGCTCACAACAGCTCTGGGAGATGGGTACTATTATCATCCTCATTTTACAGATGAGGAAACTGAAGCAGACAGACATTAAAAGACTTGCCTGAGTTCATACAGATGTGTGTCTAAGTCCACATTTAAACTCAGGTCTTCCTGACTCCACAGCCAGCACTCTGAGACCCACTGTATCACCCAGTTGCTTTTATACATACGTAGTTGTTTGTCTTCTTTATTAAGATGTGAGCCTCTTGAGAGGAGGGGCTGTCTTTTGCCGTACTCTGTATTCCTGGCGCTTAGTATACTACCTAACACATAAGAAGAGCTTAATATATTCTTATTGATGGACAGACTTCAAGTAGATTGTAGAGGTATAACTAGGGTGGGATGAGATAGGAATTCTCCTAGGCCACCAAAATTTAGAGGGTACAAAAATTAACTATTTACTTTCACAATCTAATTAGCAAGAATAATTAGTTAAAATAGGAAGCTACCAAATTGTTAATAATGCCCAATGTATGAGCCACAATAGTAATTAATTGCCCATCTGTTCAACTGAATTTGCCTTAATTATTTCTTGTATTCTTTTCATATCATAAATGATATGAAAATTGGTGAAAATTAATTCATGTGAAAGTTAATTTGAAGTACTACTGTCAGCCCTCTCTCTTTTCTTCTCTCTCTCTCTCTCTCCTTCTCTCTCTCTCTCTCTTTCCCTCCCTCCTCAAATTATCTTGTAATTATGTGGCTACAGTTCTTATATTTTCTTATGCAATGTAAACTCCTTGAGGACAGGCACTGTTTTATTTTGGCTTTTATCCTTGGTGCCTAGGACAGTGCCTTGCATATAGCAGATGCCTGTTTCACTGAATTGAAGTGTTGAATTCACATAAGCATTTTGAGGCTGTGTAGCCATAAGCCTTAAGCAGGAAATTGTCTGTCTGCTCATACACATACAATCCCCTCTACTGCCACTCAAGAAAAGGCTCAGTGTTCCTCCTTTGCTTGGCCCCTCTCCCAAAACCTCTTTGTGCTAGGAGATAATGGGATCATAAATTTAGAGTTTGAAAGTCTTTGGACGTCATCAAGTTCAACCCCCTGGTTTTACACATAAGGAAACTCAAGACCTTAAATGACCTGCCTAGAGTTATACAACTAGGAAGTATTTGGGGCAAGATTCAAATCCAGGTGTTCCTGACTCTAAATCCTCTGCTCTAACCACTATACCTTGTTGTGTCTTCAAATACAGAAACAGGTATCTCTACCCCCTCCCACATTCTCTCCTCACATCAAATTTAGGATTCAAATGGAGAGAATTCCATACAATCCAACTTGCCTACAAGTCTGCCTCTAGTTTTTCTTCAATGTCAGAGCAGAAAAATGTTGGAATGGCAGGAAAGGGGGAAAGGATAGAAAGACTTCATAGCCATCACCTCCCCACCCCCCAACCCCAACCAGCCCAGGTTACATCATCCCTAGAGAGGCCTCCACACCCCAGGGAAGCAATGAGCTAAGGCAAGAGCTGTGTGCAGCACATTCCACGCATACCATTTGCACAATGGCGGGGTGAGAGAGAATGAGCAATAACTCCCCTTCTTCCCCCTCAGTAAGTTAATATACCACAGGATTCCCTTCACTAATTAACGTAAACTCCCTCTCTTCAGACTGCAGCCTAGAGAGTTAGGAGTATAAACTGTCCTGCTGACAAGACTCCTTACCCCTTTTGACAAAACCATAGGCCTCAGATTAGGGAAATCAACTGGACCCCAATGATGTTTTCTAAGCATTATCTATTAAAATGCAGCATAATAAAAATCATGGAAAGACTTTCTAACAGAGGCCTCCAAATCCCAATAAGTTCTATTTTAGGTAAGAACAAGGAATTCCATTACTCACATGTGGCTGGTTAGGAACAGATGAAGGATTCAGTATGATGCATAATTCAGGCATATATCTCCTCTCTTGGTCTGTCCAGTGTCACCTGGGACCAGATTCTATTTATAGCAGAGAAATTACTAATAACTGAAAGATCTTGCATTAACAGAAGGCGCTTGAGAATGACTTTTCAGCTGCTTTCTTCACTACCGCAGAAGCATTACAGCATTTCAAGAGGCTGGGGTGGGGATGGTATGTGAAAGGAAGGCCCCATCCTCCACAAGACATATGCTCATTTTTCAATTCCCAGAGGATGCTCAAGTCCTTTATGAAAGGGTTTCTCGAGGACAAGATTTTAACTTAAGCCACCACCACTTGCTACAAAAAGTTAACAACAGCTAAGATAAAAAAAAAAAAAAAGCTAGAGGAAGGAAACCTGGATATAGGAAGTAAAGACTACATAATTACCTCCTCAAGAGAAAGGACTTTTGTTTTCCCCAAAGCACTTTGTGTGGGCTGTGCTCAGATAGTGCTGACTCTATGTTTGTTGAATGAATGAATGAGTGAATATTGTAGCAGAACTTGTTCCTTGGACCATCCTTGCTTCAGGGAATAATCTGACAGCCCTGATCCTGAAAAATCACCTCAGTGAAAATCATCCTTCTACTAGTTTAATTGCTCCAAAAGCAAAAGGATCAAAAAGTTCGAGTTAGAAGGGACCCCAGAGTCTATCTAGCCCAATCATTTATCTCTGTCCTTGTTCAGTTATTTTTCAGTTGTGTTCGATTCTTCATGATTCTGTTTGGGGTTTTCTTGGAAAAGATACTGGAGTGGTTTGCCATTTCCTTCTCTAGCTCATTTTTACAGATGAGGAAACTGAGGCAAACAGGGTTAAGTGAATTTTTCAGGGTCACACAGCTAGTAAGTGTCTGAGGTCAAATTTAAAACTCAGGTCTTCCTGACTCCAGGCCCAGATCTCTAACTACTGCACCACCTAGCTGCCCCTCATTTTACAGATGAGGTCATTGAGGCCCAGCAAGTTTTAATAACTTGCCAATAGTCACGCTAGCAGAGTCCAGATTCAAACCTGGCTCTGAATGCTGTGCTTTTTCTACTGTACCACATTGCCTCTTTCAGGGAAGATCTTGCCTAACAAGGAGTAGTATGAACATCTTGGACCACTAGCTAGAACCCATAAATATTCCTGCCGATTGTTTGGCTGAGCTACAGATGAAATATATTGATAACAATAGCTTTCAGTTAGAGAGAGTCATCCAATCAATCTAAACATTTATTGAGTAACTACTATGTGCCAGGCACAGTGCTGAATGCTGGGGACACAAAGGAGAGAAGAGAGGAAGGGAGAAAGGGAAGAAGGAAGGAAAGGAGGAAGGAAGGAAGGAAGCATATAAATGCTTAGTATTTCCTTCCTTTATGTAGAAGGTGGAACATGAGCTGTGCATTACAGAGAAACACTTTATGAGGTAGAGATAAGGAAAGAGTGCATTTCAGGTATTTTGAATGGCCCATGCAAAGGTATAAAGATAGGAGATGGAACATTGTATAGGAGGAACAGAGAGAAGTCCAGTTCTACTTGATCGCAGAGTAAGGGGCAAAAATTGGAAAGATAGATCAAAACAAGGTCGTGAAAGCTTTAAAAGCTTAGTAGGAGAGGCACATTGTCAGATCTGCACTTAAAAAAATCTTTGGCAACAGTGTAGGAAGAATTGGAGAAGGAGGACCAGTTAGAAGTTGTTACAATAATCTAAACTAGGCAATGAGGGCCTAAACTAAACCTAGCACAGTGCCTGACATACTGTGGGTACTTATTTAATTGGATTGAATATGAGGCATAAATTCCCCTAAAAATTCTTCCAAATACAAAAATCTAAGAGCAAAGTCCTCAGGACAAATGACATTTCAAATTAGCTTTCTCCTTAAAAATGCAGTCTCAGTGGAGACTTTTGAAGGACCTAAAACACTTGGAGTCACTGTGGTTTCTGAGCACTCTCTGAGGGCTGCATCCTACCTGTGCAGAGAAGGCACAGGATACAAAGGAGAAAGGCTCTTACAAGAAAATGATTCAACTCACTATTTTACTGTTTGTTGCTGGAGGGAAGGAAAGAAACCTCATTCTATTCTGTGAACAAGAGATAGACACCTTGATCCCTTGTGATATATCAGGTGAAGTCAACAAGCATTTATTAGGCATCTACTACATGCCAGGCACAGTGCTTAACACTGAGGATAGAAAAAAAGGGCAAAAAACAGTTCCTGTCCTCAAGGAGGTCACAATCTAATGAGAGCAGTTCATAATGTCACTCATGAAAAGAAAGGCAAAAAATAATCCCTGACATCAAAGAGTTCACAATATCACTCATAATAAGAGAGAGGAACTAATCATGTCCCAAAGAGGATGATTTAGTATCAATAGCTACACCTCAGGAAACATTAAAAAAAGCAGTTAGTGCTGAGCCTTAACTACACTATTCGATGTGGCACTAAGTATTGAGGACAGAAACAAAACAAAACAAAACAAAACAGAAAGGAAATATTCCCTGCCCTCAAAAAGCCTATATTCTATTGAGGGACACAATGTTTTTTAAACCAACCTATTGGTATAGGGAGTTCCCAATGAGGAACTACTTCTACCAATGAAAATTATTAGCACCTTTTGTACATCCTCTAGCTAGCAGAGAAAACTAGGTGTCTCAGAGATAAGGCAATAGACTTGGAATCAGGGAAACCAGAATTTAAGTCCCACCCCACACATTTACTAACTCTTTGTGACTCTGGGCAAAACTGTCTCAGTTTCCTCATCTGTAAAATGGGGTTAATAATATGAAAACCTTAAAGCAAATATAAGTGACTTATCCAAGGTCACACAGCCAATATTCAATGCAATTTTTGGAGAGTAGGAAACAGTGTGATTTGGAGTTCAATAGATTAAGAAGAACCAGTTAAAAACTCACTTTTTCTAAGAAACAGACATGAAACCTACATATCCTCAGCCCCTATACAGGCAGCTTGCTCTTCTTTCAATGCTGTTTTTATGGAGGTTCTCTAGTTGTCCTAGGTGTCTGGTTTATCTCCTCATCTAGATGAGTAGAAAAAAGCTCTGAACTTGATCAAACTTCTTTCTTTGTCATTGACTACCTTTGTGACCTTGGACAAGTTATGTCAACTCTCTGGGCATTTCCTCATCAGTAAAATAAAGGCATTGGTTTAGATGACGTCCCAGGTCCCTTCCAGGTCTAATATTCAATGATTTAATAGAAAAAACTTCGCACTTAGACTCAAGAGAGCCTTGGATCATAGATTTAAAGAGAGAAGGGATCTTAGTGTCCATCTAGTGAAATACATCATCCTAATTCTACAGATGAGGAAACTGAGGCCCAGAAAGGTCAAGTAACTTATGCCCAAGGCCACCAAGCTAATAAGTAATAGTGCCAAGATTTGGACTCAGTTCCTCTCACTCCAAATTCAGAACACTTACCACATTACTGCTTTGTCCGCCTCTGACACTTCCTCAAAATGTTACTATGGGAAATTCAATACCACCCTGAACCTCAATTTCCTTGTCGGTAAAATGAAGATAATAAAATCTGCAGTGTCTATTTAAGGTTAGCTAAGAGAGATAATGTAGGTAAAGTGCTTTGTAAACCCTCAGTTCTCATTATTATCTTTCTCAGCCATCTCTAGACCTTGTCTGTACCCTGTCTTCATTCTCACCAGAAACTTGGACTGCACTGCTGAAATCACCCTGGTCCCAAATAGGTAACCTTTGACCTTATTTTGCCCACATCTAAGCCTTCATCTCATTCCTCCACCATGTCCAAACTGCGTTGTCAGAAGTATATCACCCCCTTCTAATTTCCAGATCCCCTTCATGCGCTGTCTTCCCCCATTAGAATGTAAAGTCCCTGAAGGCAGGTTCTACTTTGCTTGCTTATATGTATATCCCCAGCACATTGACTGGCACTTAGGAAATGCTTAATTAAGATAGGTTCTTTCTATCTATCCTTGATATTAGAGACAGTTGCTCCTCTTCCAATTTCTTCTGGAATCTTACCAAAAGCCCTAAGACCCCACTGTTCACATATTAATGGGTGGATATTTATTTACCAGATACTTTATTATTTCGTTTTTAGAAATCCAAATGTTGCTTACATGTAAATATTCAGAATCTAGATGGATCCCAAACCTTTCCTCCCATTCATATCAGCCCCTCCCCCACTTTCCCCTCACTTAGCTGTGAGCACTTCCTGTATTACTTTGACCCTAGCCCAGACCAGCTTCCATTCTTAGAGCCAAGCTTCCACCACTGATTTGCTGACATAAGAATTTCAAGCAGGAAGAGAGATCTTCCTTGAACATCTGGCCCAAGGCTCTCATTTTAATAGATTTGTCTACCCACCAGCTTTCTGGCACATTTGCTTAAGTCTCAGGCCTTAAGTGGAAACAAAATAAATACTACAGAATAGATAAACTGAGGTCTCTCTCCTATAGGCCTAATCCTAGTCCTGAAAGTCAACCAGTTAGAGCTATATGCCTTTGGTTTAAGTATTAGTCCTAATTAAAATTCAAACACTCTCTTGTTATCTCCTTACTGTGAGTTAGTCTATCAAATCCTTTTTTTTTTTTTTTGTGAGGCAGTTGGGGTTAAATGACTTGCCCAGAGTCACTCAGCTAGTGAGTGTTATGTGTCTGAGGTTGCATTTGAACTCAGATCCTCCTGCCTCCAGGGCTGGTGCTCTATCCACTGTGCCACGTAGCTGCCCCGTCTCTTTTTTTTTTAAATGTAAAATTTTTTATTTTTGTTTTTTATAAGCATTTATTTTCCTTCTCCCCTCCCCTCAATGAACAATTAAAAAAATATACAATATATATAAATATATACAATGTACAAAATATATACATTGTATAAAAAAAAATAAAATAAAACCCTTAAATAAATACACACAGTCCCACAAAACAAATCCCCACGGTTGCCTCAGCCAAAGATGTATGTCTTATGCATTTTGAGCCCATCACCTCTGTGGCAGGAGTTGGATATCATGCCTCCTCTCTGGTCTTCTACCAGATGCTTTCTAAAGGTATGCCTAACTGAGCACAGGTCTAGATCAAGGAATGTGGTTCAACAACCTATATGGTATATTGAAAA